AATTATAACTCTAATTAGATTAAGTCAATTTTATTTACCGGCCGAAACGTAGTTATGAAAACTAAAATAAATATGGTGAAAAAATAAACAGAGCCTTATTTTATAATATTAAAAAAATTTCACATTAAACAAGCACATATGGACAAGTAAAATCAATTGTTACAAGTCGTTCAAACTAAAGTTGAAAATCAAGTGTCGTTTGTAAATAAATGGCCAGAAATAACGAAAAACTCTTGGAAATAAAACATCTGGAGAATACATTTTTCTTTCTAAAACACTGATTAATTTTTAAAATATCTGAAGCGGTTACATCAAAAATATAGTTAATCGGCAGAAAAGCGGCACTGTGGTAGACGCCTGGAATCCTCTGCTACATCTTTCAGTACTCATAAATGGCATAATAACATTATCATAATATAATGATATTTTAAGTGCATTATTTCGATTGTATTAGCGAACAAATAAAATGTGCAATAACTTCAAAATCCAGTCTCCGGTGAAGAGAATTAATATGAGCAATGTACACATACCTTAAAGCTATTGCACTGTAATTTAATTTGTGTTATATTTTTTACTTTTCTACCGCTACTAGGTAAGATTGCAAAGTTTCGATTTACGGTTTTCAGTGGACAAGCGGAGAGCCCCCTGAGTCCAAAAACACATTTTCAGCCATTGATCTGCCCCTTCGTGCCATGATTATCTCGGAAGCGATTGGATCGAGTTTGTTATTTATTTTTTTGTTAAGAAGGGTTTTGACTACCGGTGTTTGTGAAACAAATTATTGCAATATCTGTGCAATAAGGGAACATGTTTTTCCATAGACTGTAGCGCCAAAACGATTTTAATAAAACGTTCCTCTAATTTTCTACTTAAAGTCTTTTCGATTTTCGTATATTTAGTGAATATAAAAAAAGCGAAAATTGTTTTGGGGAGCTAAATCACAACGTATATATCCAATCGGGTTTCAACGGATCTTAACATTTCAGAGCCCCTTAAGTCCGGATTGAATAAGAAAGATTATTAAATTTCTGACAAAGATATCGAAAAATCATCTAAATTGAACCACTTTTAGCAAAGTTACAGTGTTCTGATTTTTAGACGCTTATTTTCATAATGGTTCACTTGCCCATTTACATTGCTTAGTTCATCCAAAAAATTGTACTCTGATGATTTCTCCGATTGGTTTTTAGGAAAATGAATCTAGTCCAATTGTTTTGTTTTTTCTAATGGATACATTTATAGTTTTATATATTTTTAAAAAACAGGCAGGAAAGTCGTATGAGTGGACACACCAGATTTTTATTTAAATCATTGGTAACAATGTTTTGATTGTATTTAACTCTTGCAATCGGGGGAACGGGAGGAGAAATGGGGGGCTGTCACTATCTTTCTTGAAAATGCCTTTAATCTATTCTCAAGTTAATTTTATTAATTTGGTTGGACTTTAATATGTTTATGTCAATCTAACATCTAAATGTACCCATTCTGAAGCGTTTTTTTAAGATATGAAGTATCATATTTAATAAATAGCAACAAGCTAATAGGTAACTGCAAGACCCTTGCGTAAGACCATGACCAAGACTGCCTCGGTCTCGCGTTGCTCTTGCATTTGGGCAGCACTAATGGCTACTGGGTGTATTTGGAAATTCAAAATTGGGTGTGTTTCCATTGACAAGCCGTTGGAGATGGTTTCCAAGACTCTTCGTAATTTTTGGAAGAGATAGTATAATGAGTACCTCCACAATCTGGTGCCTCGCAACAACTATGGTCACACAAAAGGACTGCTAAATGTGAATATTTTGGTATCGACAGCGGATGCTTACTTTTTTCTTCAATTGTGGAATAATTCAACCTACATCCCACCCTTAGAGCTGCGTCCTTATCCAAAAATGGTGTGAGCTTGTTTAATTAACCCTTATATGGTTTGCCACCTTTAATGCAATCAATTTCAATCTGGTATGAGGATTCCAAGTCAGACGTTTGTCCAGGTGGAGTCCTAGGTAACGGATTTGTTCAACAGGAATAAGTGAGGTGTTGTTAAAGGATACTGAAGGACAGGAAGTCATTGGTTTACGATGAAGGATGAAAGTAATTTGATGGGATTTATTGGAATTTATTTTAATTCTGCAGTTTTGACACCATTCTTCAAGGTTTATGATGTGGGATTAAAGAGTTTGGAATGCAATAGATGGGTCGTTATTAAATGATAGGATACATGTGTCATCTGCATATGTGGTGATGACAGTGTTGGGATGTCAGCTGTATAGACTGTGTAAAGGATACTACCTTGAAGGCACAGGTGGATTTACGGGGAGGGAGGCTTACGTGCTGAAGCCCCCCCCCCAAACGGTAAAATATAACTATGTTTTATAGAAAAAAATATTAAAAACTATCTCTTAAAGTATTATTGTTCGTGTTACATATAATAGGACTTCAAGAATCACTTAAACACCATTTCACATAGGTAGTTCATTTCTTTCTTCTTTTTTTTTTCAAATTAATTATCGTTATATATATATGAAAACAAATCTTTCGGGCTGAAGCCCTCCCAAAATTAAATCCTGGATCCGCTAGTGCCTTGAGGAACACCTGCAGACTGGGAAAAGCGGGATGTATAGACATTGTTGTGATTTACTTTAAAGTATCTATCAGTAAGGTAGGAACGGATAATGAGGAAGTATGTAGATGGTAGGAATTTTCGGAGTTTGTACAGCAGTCCGGGATGCCAAACTCTATTAAATCCTATCAAACGCCTGTTCAACGTCGAGAAAGACTCCCGTACAGTACATACCGCGCTCCAATGCAAAGGATACTACGTCTACCACATGATGGCATTGGTGTATAGTGGAATGGGAGGAGCGGAATCCAAATTGGTGATCTGGGATTATGTGATTAGAATTCAGGATGGGATACAGGCGTTTTAAGGTTAGTTTTTCCAGGATTTTTCCCATGATGGGTAAAAGAGAGAAAGGACGGTAAGAGTATGGGTATTCTGGTGGCTTTTTGAGTTTGTGAATCATTTTGACAATAGATATTTTTCAAGGATCAGAGAAATATGTGGATCGGAGTACAGCATTATATATGAAAGTAAGGAATAGTGTGGCTTTTCGAGGAAGAAGTTTTAAGATCTGGGATGTTATTAGGTCATGTCCAGGAGCTTTGCGGGAGGGTAATCTGTGAATGATGTTGGATATTTATATGGGATGAAATGCTTTAGGTGGAAGGGACATTTGGAGAGGAGTGTAAAGTTCTGATTCAATACACTCGATGTAGGTTGGATTAAGGATATCAGAATGTGGGTTGAAAATTTGGAAGAGATGTTGACCGAATATTTGGGCTTTTTCTTCAACCAATCAATTAAATTTTATTTCTTAATAAAAGTTGTGAATATATTTAAACTTTAATAGATTTATTATCTGTTGGTAGTATTATGAAACTTAGACTATGGCGGCCCCTTCATTATGAAGATCTCCAGTAAGCACAATGCTCCTAAATCGAAATGTTGGTTAGCTCTCTTTGTGTACGTGTCTACCAAGGCCATCCATCTAGGATTTGTGACGGACCTATCCACTCCTTCATTTACTGCCACATTAGACAGATTTATTGCCAAACGTGGTTTGCCTTCGCGCGTTTATAGTAACTGTGAACTAAATTTAGTTGGAGCATCCAAGAAGTTGAAGGAGCTTTATCAATTTAAGGGCTAGAGCTAACACATTTCTAACCATTTAAGTCGGACGGGTATAAAGTGGACATTCCAGCATCTCCTCATTTCGGAGGTATTTAGGAGACAGCTATTAAATCCGCTAAAAGACACCTTCCTGCCGTTCTCCAGGATCATGTGTTAACATATGAGGCATTTTATACTCTTCTAGTACGAGTTGCAGCCGTTCTCCATTCCCATCCTACCTTAAATATTTGCAGTCAGCCTTCGGATAACCTGAATTACCTCACCACAGGGCACTTTCTTATAGGTCAACCCCTCCTAGCCAGACCAGAAATAGAAGACCCGATACAAGTATCACATAAAAAGTAATAGGAAGGTAATAACAAACTACTGGCCATTTGTATCAGATAAAAGTGTCAGATACAAAAAAGTACGGGTATCAGTTGTATCTAGATACAAAAATTCTGGTATCAACGCATCCCTAGTCAGAATTGTAAATCACTACTTAAAAGTTTCTGAGGTCTCAAGACCAATAGTACATTTTTTTTAAAAAACGTTTCACTCACTAACAAGTACCTATTTACTTAAAATAATTATTTGTAGTTTGATTATAATAAACCTTTAATTTTCGTTGAAATCAGTAACGTCCATATATATATATATATATATATATATATATATATATTATATATATATATATATATATATATATATATATATATAATATATATATATATATATATATATCGTGTGACAGCCTTTACTGAAGGTAGAAGACGGGATATGTACCTTCAACTGTTATGCGGGTTGGATTCGACCCGAGCGTTTATAGAAGAGGGTTAAATAATAATTTTCATTGTAATCGAACAATGAAAACTTTTCACTCGATATTTGACCTTCTATTAATAGTTATAATAGAATCCACCTGTGATTACAGCTTTATTGTAGATGTTATACATGTTGCATAGCGAAATATTGATCAAAACATTTTTATTTTTGAATATCCATGAAAATTCTCTCAACATTTCATCAGTTATAATATCTACATGGTCCCGCAGTAAAGATTACTTTAAAATATGTATGTTGATACTCAAACACCACATCTTTAAAATGACACCTACAAATGAAATGTTTGTGTAGTGATCAATATTAATAACATCGAGTTTAGGATAACCTCCTTGGAGAATGGACAGAACATTTGACTTGAAATCTGATTTGTTTATGTTGTTCTGTTTTCCGTTGAGTTTATATACTGAAATGTTAATTGTAAAGCACTGGTATTAAAAAAAGTAACATATATTTTTTTGTTTTTTAATAAAAAATAGTTTTGAATTTCGTTATTATTAACTCAGTAATAAATGCTCGTAGAACTGTTTTAGGATGATTTTTAAATCTATTCAAATTATATTTATTTTTGTAGTGCTTGATCTATTCTGCATGTCTATCTTATGTTTTTTTAGTCCTAAAATCTGGATTGGAGAAATGGAGACTTGTTATATACTGTTTCATATTTAAAGCTTTGTTTTACAATTTTGTTATAATTAAATTTTTGCAAGTTTCAATAGTGTTTAAAATTGACTATTATGAAGAAATTTCAGTTAGAAGTTTGGAATACATTCGATAAACTATGCCTAATGTCAGCAATTACAAAACTTAAAACCAGTTTTACTGACCAAAACTGGTAAGTTGGTTATTTTTCTTCATTTTCTTTTATCATAGGGAAGAAATTGTTAAACAACAACTTGCTATTATTTTAGGGTTGCTATTAGTAGATACACAAAGCAGTTACATGAAAACATTTCTTCTTTTGTTCAATATGACAACAGAAGTGATGAATGGTTTTCTGCTAAGCAGTGTTCAGCTCAGTATGAAGTTCTTATTAAAGGTTCTGGGGCTCGCAAGAAGAAGAAAGTAGACAGAAACTTTGATTACTCGGAAGTTCATGAGGCTCTTTTGGTTTCATTAAATCAAGGTAGTTTTTTTCAATTTATTTTCTAAAGCTTATTTAAATGTTATATTATTTAACATTAATTTTCTCAATGCCGAATTCCTGAATACCCAATAATTGTAGATGTCTTATTGCTTGGTTAGCTATATGAAACGGTACAACTCTAAAGCGGTAATGTAATTAAAGCTAATTAACATCCTGGTTTTAGCCCAAAAGATTTAGTAAGGAATTCGCCTATTAATAAGTGTGATGTTAATAAAGGGAGGTTATAGTATGAACATATTAATCCTTCACTATTCCTGGAATCCTATTTATACCAAGAACTAGGGATCTTGCCTCTCTGGATAGGTTATGTTTGTACATGGTGGGAAGGGGGAAGTACATTAGTATGGTGCTACCTTCACATTTAATGGAATCCTGTCAATTACCGAAAGTCATTGAATATTGATAATTGTTGAAATGTAGTTGGCACGGGTAGGAGATGTCTTTTGGGTCTTCAGATACCCAGTGGCGGGAATTATCTATAAGGGAGTTGTGCTGGGTATACTGAGGTGTGCATCCCCAGTGTGGAGCCATCACCTGAATCAGGTGCTGAAGAAGAAGATGGCCACCATTCAGAAGCTTGCCCTGATGAGGACGACTAGGATGTATAGAACCGTGTCCCACGAAGCAGTGCAAGTGCTGGCCGGGAAGTTGCCCCTGGACCTCTTCCTTCAGGAGGACACTTGGAGGAATGACCTAAAGAGCCAGAGACAAGAGGCACTCCCAGAGGGGTTTCAGCGGAGGGTCCGTGAGGATCCATGAAGATCGAGTGGCATAGTCCGAGAGGCGACACTAGAAGAGTGTAATGGTTGGTGGATTATAAGTGAGAAAGGAGTTATTAATATAGATCACTACACAAACATTTCATTTATAGGTGTCCTTTTAAAGATGTAGTGTTTGAGTATCTACATACATATTTTAAAGTAATCTTTACTTTTGCTCAATATTTCACTATGCAACAGGTATAATATCTACAATAAAGTTGTAATCACAGGTGGATTATATTATAACTATTAATAGTAGGTCAAATATCGAGTGAAAAGTTTTCATTGTTCGCTTGCAATGTAAATTATTATTTAACCCTCTTCTATAAACGCTCGGGTCGAGTCCGACCCGCCTAACAGTTGAAGGTACATATCCCGTCTTCTACCTTCAGTAAAGGCTGTCACACGATGGCCTAAATGTTTTCAGCAACGTTCTTTGAAAAACCTGGAATGGTTCTGTAAATGTGATGTGAATGGTTCGTGTAATGTGAAACTACAAATAATTATTATTAGTAAATAGGTACTTGTTTTGTTAGTGCTATAACATTTATTTTATTAATTTCAGTGAAACGTTTTTTTAAAAAATGTACTATTGGTCTTGAGACCTCAGAAACTTTTAAGTAGTGATTTACAATTCTGACTAGAGATGGGTTGATACCAGAATTTTTGTATCTAGATACAACTTATACCGGTACTTTTTTGTATCTGATACTTTTATCTGATACAAATGGCCAGTAGTTTGTCATTACCTTCCTATTACTTTTTATCTGATGTATCGGGTATTTTTATCTGATACCTGGACTTGATACACTGAAGAGTAGATACCCGAGCGGTGTGCATACTGGCGCTATAACTTGATATCCCAATAATTATATCTGCTATTTTAATACAACTGTAATTGATTACTGATCAGGTTTGATATTTTTAATACCTATTTATATTATTTGGTATTATAATATTTATAATAAAACATATAGTAAATATTTACCTACATTTTATTCCTTTATTATTAAATTTGTCCATGTAATGAATACTTTACACCATTTTTAAATATAATAGTTCTAATTTATATAGTTATGTCAGGTACTATACAGATATGTACACAACTTTTAAAATAAAATATGCTTTATATTTGTCAAAAGAATGGAATATATTTAATTTAAAAAAAATATATATAACAAATTCATGCAGAGAAATTTTTTTCCTAATAAAAGATTCTAAAGAATTTTGTAACAATTAAAAAAAAATTCTTTAGAGCTAAATTTGACATACACAAATATATATATATATATATATATATATATATATATATATATATATATATATATATTTCTGTTGGCATTACAGACCATGTAGATCTTTTGCCACCTTAACAAGTCTGCTCTATCTCTGCCTGTCTTGGGCTATTTCTTTCCATTTGTCTGCAGACAGCTCTATTGCATCTTTGTTAATTCTATTTATCCATCTGCTTTTTGTCCTTCAACGTGGTATTTTGCCTTGTATTGAGGAATTCATTGTTACTTAGAGGCTTTCAGCTGGATAGCTAGGAGCTAGATGCCTTGTCCATCTTTATATCATGGGGTATTGATTGACCAGTTTCTGTAAGCAGTTTTTTATTGGTCTTTCTTCTCCACATGTTTATACTCTGATCCTGGATCACTCTGGTTATCCTATGGATTTTTCTCATTTCTATTTATGACTGTATATTTTAATTATTTATTTGATTGCAACAAAAAATTAAGCTCCAAAAAATATTTTTAGTCCGACAAGATTGATAATGAAGGCCACTATATTTATTTATATTTCTTCTTCTTTTTCGACGGCACTACAACTCATGAAGAGTCTTGGCCTCTTCAAGACATGGCCGCCAGGCGTCTCTATCCTGAGCAGCCGCTTTCCAGTTACGTACACAAATTAGTGCACGTGCATCTCTTGCCACACAATCCTGCCATCGCAGCTATGCTCTTCCTACTTTGGTAGAGCCTTGTTCATTGCTCTCAATAGTTTTTTGGGGGATTTCATCATTTTGCATCCTCGCCACATGCCCTGTCCATCGCAGTCTTGCAAGCTTTATGATTCTTATGATATCCGGCTCCTTCAATAGATTGTAAAGCTCTGTGTTATGTCTAATCCTCCAATTCTGTTCATCGCACAGAACCATAGATTCTGCGGAGCACCTTCCGCTCAAATAACGCTAGGGCTCGCTCATCTCCTTGCGTCCATGGTCCAGACTTCGGAGCCATACATCAGTACTGGACGAATGAGCATTTTATAAAGCTGTGTCTTTGTGCTGTGAGAGATGAGTTTAGTTTTGAAATGCTTATTCAGGCAAAAATAGCACTTGTTTGCCGCTACTATCCTTCTCTTGATCTCTAGGTTTCCTTTGTTTTCTCTATTTACCAGAGATCCCAGATATGCAAATTCATTAACTTTCTGGAACTTATAGTACGCGATCTCCAGGTGCTGTTCTCGGGCAGTAGCACTACCTCCAATACACATATACTTGGTTTTTGACCAGTCCTAACCCTCTAGGTGCTGCTTCTAGTAGGACAAATGCTTCGAAAAGTTCATTTCAATCATTGTCCTGTATAACTGCTCTCTATCGATGCTATCATAAGCAGCTCTAAAATCTATAAAGAGATGGTGAGTTTTAACATTATACTCCATAGTTTTCTCTAGGAGCATTCTAAGGGTGAATATCTGATTAGTGGTCGATTTTCCTCTTCTGAATCCACACTGGTATTTGCCGATCTCTTGCTCTGCAAATGGCAGAAGCCTCTGGAAGAGAACGTTTGATAGAACTTTGTTAGCACTGGAGAGCAGAAAAATGCCTCTATAGTTTTCACAGGTAAGTTTATCACCTTTCTTGTATATAGGGCATATCACAGACTGGTTCCAATCCTTAAGTAATCTCTCTTCTGTCCAGATACTCAAGAATAGTTTGCGTAAGATTTTTATTAGCTCTGTTCCCCCATATTTGTATAGTTCACTTAGGAGTCCATTAAATCCTGGGGTCTTGTTTCTGAGCTTTCTTATTGCCTCCTCTACTTCCTCATCATCTGGTGGTTCCAGATCATCATCGGCACTATAACCAGGTGTTACAGCATCCTCATCAATGTTATTATTTCTCAATCTCTAGGGCATGTATATACTGTTTTTTCAAGAGTCTCATAAAACTCAACCTTTTCTATGTCATCTGACATTTCCGTGGGTGCATGAGCGCTGAAAAGACTATAATTAAAAAAAATTCCTTTTATTCTTAAATAGCAAATTCTGGGATTTACAGGTTTGAAATCTGTAATTAATGACCTTGCATTCTTACGAACAATAAACCCGGTACCGAAGATATGGTGCTTACTATGGCAGCTATAATAAATAGTATGGATCTTTTCGAAGATTTCATGTCCGGTCCAACTTATTTCCTTTATGGCTGTTATGTCCAACTTATATTCGTCAACGACATTTAAGAGCATCTGCAGTGCTCCAGGTCTATACATGCTTAAAACATTCCAATATCCAAAAATAAGATCCTTTTGACGGCCAAGTTGTTTCCCTGAGATCAATCCGGTTTAAAATCTCAATTGAAATAACTAGCTAACAGGTAAATATTAATGTAAATATTTTTTATACATATCTTATAAAATTAATCATTGAATTAATATTAGTTACTGGCCAATAAAATATATATATTTAATATGTGTTTATATATATTTTGTCGCTGTAATAAATACTTAACAATATGTTTAACTATAATAATTTTAATAACTGTTTAGGTATGTCAGGTACTATGCAGATATTTATACATTTTTAACTTATGCTTTATATATGACAAAAGAATGAAATGTATTTAATATAAAATTATATAAATTTTGTAGCTTTTTTTTTTTCATATCACCAATTCAAAATAATTTTAATAATGTGAATTCTTCTTTTCTTCTGTTTTGCTGGGAATTTAAATTTAAATGTAAGTTTTGAAGATGGGAATAATTTTCCCGAAACATCAACTTGACATGTAATTCAACAAATAAACCAATTGTTTGTATGTGGTAAAGTTTTTATTGCCAAAAATAAAGAAGTTTAATAATGTGATTTGTTACAGTTTGGTTCTTTTAATGCTTTTTTCTGTAACTTATTACATTTTAAAGCTTCTAACAGCTTATGAGAATATATTTTAAATAAAACAAGAGTACTTTGAAAGGTAATGAAACATTTAATGAA